GTCGGCTGGTTTGCAAAATCCGCCGACCCTGTCGGCGTGTGGACCCCCTGTCGGCGTGCGCTCAGCCGACGCATCCGTTGTCCTCTTTCCCTGCGTCTCAGTCGTCCCTTTTCCCTGCACCCTCCTCTTCAAGCCTGCCAGCGAGAGAAAACCGTAGCAACGTCGTACTGAAGTCGAAGGGAAGCCCCTTCCCTTTGATCCCTCCCCCGCCGAGGGGGGGGGGTCCCGGGGAGGGGTCCCGGGTGGGTCAGGTATGCATCCGCCCCTGGGCGTACCAGAGCCCCAAAAAGCGCCAAGACGCGCCAAGAAGGCCCCAAGCAGGCCCAAGAAGAGGACGACGAACCGACATTTCGAGCTTCCCGCCCCAAGAAAAGAAGCCCGCGGAAAGCCCCAAGAGCCCCTCAAGGGGCCCGAAGAGGGCCCCAAGAGACCCCCAAGAGGCCCAAAAGAGGCCCCAACCGGCCAGAAAACATCCAATAAGCCTTTCAACCACAACCCCAGCTCGGTGGCGGGAAGGGCTGCAGGCCACAAGGTTCCCTGTCTGTCTTTGCTACGACTCCCTTGGCCCACATGGGGAACATTCCCTTCGCCTTCTCCTGCCCCCTTCCATCTTAATCCCCCTCCTCCTCCTCCTCCTCCTCCTCCTCCTCCTCCTCCTCCTCCTCGTATTCGTCGTCGTCTTCTTCAGGGTCGGCGGCACTGGCCGTAAGGCCTTAGCAATATGATTATCGCTTTAGCGCAGCGCACCTTCGTCTTGAAAGTTTGAAGCAGTTTCACGGATGGAGGACAGCTGATCTTTCAATGTGGCTCTCGCCGCGCGCATTCGTCTTACACGTCTGCAACAGCTTAAACATTTAGGGCGGGCGGTTCAAAAAACGCAGTTCTCGACTCAGCGCCGTGCACATGTGCCTTGAAAGTTTGCAATCGGCTCAAGGATTCGTACGATTGAATTCCGAGGAACGATTTCCTGCTATAAGTTAAGAATCGTCTGGACGCAGCAAACACGTGGATTCGCGGCGGGGGGATCACATGAACGCTGTTCTAGCACAAGTGTCAGGACGCAACAATCACATTGATTCGCCGCTCTCTCTTCCAATGTGACACGTCGTGCAAATATTATAGATTAGCACAAGGACAGTCTATGTGCTTTATATATATGTATGTGTTAAAATGTTGTGTGCTCATTTTAATGTTAAAATTGGGGGGGTTAAGGCAATATCGTTGATGCACTTTGGTTTTGCGCTGGTTCTCTTCCTCCTCCTCCTCCTCCTCCTCATCATCATCATCATCATCATCATCATCATCATCATCATCATCATCATCATCATCATCATCATCATCATCATCCTCGCGTTCGGGGCCGTCCTCCTCAAACGAAGGGGGGCAAGACCTTCAACCTTTTTGGAAGATATATAAGCGGACGCCTTTTCCCAAAATACGGTTCAACATGAGGGCTCTTACCTGGTCACCAAAAAACGTGCGTTCTGGGACTTCTGCCAACTTTGCTGATGCGGCTGCTTTCACATGTGGGGTCGACGTTGGGGTACTTCTTGGCCACGCTCGATTCCTGGGGCCGTCTTCGGGCACCAGAGTTACAAAAACTGCGCGGGGGTGAAAGCTCGGTCGCGGGGACTCAGCCGCAGGAGGAAGCGTAGAAGAAGAGAACGAGGAGCAGAAGGAGAAAGCCAAACAGGAGGAGGACGGGACGAGAAGCATGAGGAGGAGAAGAAGGAAGAGAAGGAGGAGGCGGAGGAGGAGCAGGAGGAGGAGGAGGAAAAGGTCCAGGGGGCCGAGACGAGTAGAAGGAGGAGGAGGAAGAGGAGGAGGAGGAGGAGGAGAAGGTCCAGGGGCCCAACATCGAAGGACCAGGACGTCGGAAGTCTCGGAGGGGGGGAAGGAAGGAAGGGGGGGGGGGGGGGGCAAAGGCGCGCCACGAGTTGGCAGCCAGCGGTCGCGAGGGAGGAGGACGAGAGAGGAGGTCAACGAGGTCGAGGGAGGAGGTCGAGGAGGTCGAGACCTCCGAGGCGACGAGGCCCGAGATGCGGAGTAGGGGGGGGTCAGGGAGGGCAGAGGACGCATCGGGTCGGATCGGGTCGGAAGGAAGGCTCTAAGCTTGCCGGAAGAGTGCGGCACTCAGCTAACTGCAGGCGGCCTGTGGCATCTAGAGGTACGAACAGCAGCGCCCGCGAGCAGTACGGGCGCAGAGGATGCGTGAGATCCAGGTCCCTGGTGGAAGGGGGAGGGAGGGAGGAGAGCGGAGGGAGAAGTGGAGGTGTGGAGGAGGGCGGGGGGAGGGAAGAGGAGGGAGGGAACCAGGAGGAGCAGGAGGAGGACGTGGGGGAAAGGGGAGGAACGAGGAGTGAGAGGCAGTGCTAAGGATGAGGGAACGGGGAGGAGGAGTAAGCGAACAAGGAGAGGGGAGGAAGACTGAAGGACTGGCCATGACCGTTTTGACCCCTACTTCAGCCAGGAGCAGTGGTGGATTGCAGGTGGGGAAAAAATAGACGGGGAAGACTCCGAGGGGAAAAACCGAAGCAGGAGGAAAATCATGACGAGCGATTTGAGTGGCCGTGCCTGCTGGGTTGCCCGCTCATGCTCCTGGCGCGCTCAGGCGGCAGCGTCTTGGTCGTCGGGGGCGTTGGGCAACTGTGCCCCACAGTGGTCTCCGAGCGGGCGGCGGCGTTGCCCGACGCCCTCCCCCACGCCCTGCCCGCCGACCCTTCCGACGCCCCCGCCTGCGCCGCGCCTGCCAGCATGGCCGCTGCGCGGTGTCCGTCGTCGCGGACCGCCACGTCATCGGCTCAAGCCGACGACTGGGCCACCACAGACACGCACCCGCACGAGAACCCTCCGCCCGCTCCAGAGGCCCCGCAGGTTCCCCTGCGACGACGGCCACGGGCGGCCCCAGCGCCGCCGGCAGGTCCAGCGCCGGCTCGCGAGGGGGAGCTCCTCGGCCCGCACGGCGCGAACTCCTGCAACTGGGCCGCGCCCCCAGACACCCGCGCCGAATGGGACTCGTTCGCCTCGGACTTGTGGGATCCAGGGCAAAGGGCGGGCGCGTCCTGAAGATGCCCCGAGTCAGGAGGGCGCAGCAGAGAGGGGGTGAATGTGGGGCGGCCTGGCATAGATTCTGTGCTCGGCGCAGAGGTAACACCCGCGACCCCAGCTGGCACGATGCCACCATCCTCCGACGCTTCCTCAAACAGTACGAGCTGATGTGAGCAACCGATACGCCGCTGCTCCAAGGGGGCCCGCTTGCGCGGGCTCTAACCGACGCCTGGTTTACGACGACGACCCAGCAACGTAGTTCCTGGGCCCTCAATGGCGTGTCACCGACCCACCTGGACTGCGGCCACCGCGAGGTGCCTTCTACCCCAGGAGGTGCCCCGCGGCTCTGATCGATCTGTCTTTGCGCAACTGATAGGTGCGTTTGACTTGGCGCGCCTCCCACCCCAGGCGGCGCACCACACTCCGACTCCCAGGCGCGCCATCCACACCAGGTGGCGCGCGCGCAGCTCTGCTGCGGGCGCGCCCCCGCTTCTGATCAACCTGGCTGCGCACCAGTTAAATGCGTTCTCACGGGCGCGTCATCCACCCAAGGTGATGCGACCCTCCCTGCCCCGGGCGCGTCATCCACCCCAAGTGAGGCGCCTTCCGCCCCTGTCCGCCTCCAGAAGGAGTCCACCTGTCTGTGCACCAGGTAGGTGCGTCTTCTACTCTGCGCGCCATCCACCCTAGGTGGCGCGCCCGCTTCCGCCCCGCGGGCGCGGCATCCACCCCAGATGCCGCGCCCCGCACTACGGGCTGCACACGCCGCCCCACTGGCCATGGGCCCTGCAGGTCAGCTCTTGCCCCTGCCTGGCAGCTCGTGCTGCCTCACCTTCAGGGGCGCCGCCGCGGCGTCGCCCTCCCGTTCTGCCTCCTGGTTACCCGGCGGGAGCCTTCGCCCGGCTCCCGCTTCCGCTGGGCGCCGCCCTGCTCTTGGCCGTGATGCGCGCACCGGCCCTGGACTCGGCCTGGTGCATCTTTGCCCTCCCCCCGCCGCCCCTGGCCTCTTGCGTGGTCTCCACGCGCCGCTCTGCGGCAGCCGGGCGCCGAGGCTCTCTCATGCCACTCGGCTCTGCCCGGCCTCTCTCCCCCCGCCTCTCGCCGCCTCTCCTCTCCCCGCGCCGCGCTGGCGACTCGCCCCCGCCGCGCCGCACCGGCGCTGGGCCACACGCGCCCAGCCCACCGCAGCAGTCCCGCGCAGCCGCCACCGGCCCGCCCTCGCCGCGCCCCCGGGCCCACCCCCCTGGCAGCCCGCCGCTCCTGCAGCTCCCCACCTGCAGGGCCCCCCGCCCTGCACTGCGGCCGCCCGCTCTTCCCCCGGGTGCGCCCGCGACGTCGCCCCGCGTTCGCCGTCAGGGGCCGCCCTGCGGCCCCGGCCGCCCCGCGCGCCCCCCCGCGGCCCATGCCGCGCGAGAGCGCTCTCGTTTCTCGCCTCCCGTCTGTGCGGCCGCCCCTCGTGTTCTCCCCTCCTCTTGCACGCGGGACAATTCGCAACACCGTAACCTGGGTTGCCTGGACGCGCGTGGGGATTGCCTCTGCCGCGCTGCGACGTCAGAAACTGTGCCACAATACGCCTAGCTGCAAAAAAAGAAGACGAACGAACGTGACAAGGAGAGAAAACGGAGTCGCACGAATGTAAGATTGTAAACACAAGCGCTGAAGAGAAATGAGGAGCAGCAGCACCAAAAGCAGTGAGGAGCGGTCCTCATCCTCCACCACTTCCCTCCTCCGCCGCCCTCCTCGACCACCACCCTCCCCTCCCTCATGACCCTCCTCCTCCCTCCTCCCGTCCCCGTCGGGTAACATCTGAAGACCTAGAGGGGAAAGGGAGGAGTGGGGAGGGAGGAGTCCCCTCCCAGAGACCCTCCTCCTCCCCCAATCCCACAGCTTCCTCCTCCCTCTCCAGGTGGAGGCGGGGGGCGGCGGAGGGGTCCCCACCCGAGGGGGTGGTCCAGAAACGCCGTGAGCATCCCGTCCACGCTGACCGTCTCGGGGTCCAGCCGGACGTGGCCCTGGCCTGGAGGGGGGGGCCTCCCACTCGCGGCCCGCCGCTCGCAAGCCCAGCACCCACGTCCGCAGGCACGAGGAGGGAGAGAGGGGAGAGGAGGGAGCAGGGAGGGAGGGAGAGGGAGGGAGGGAGGAGAGGGGAGGGGCAAGGGGGAAGGAGGGGGGAGGGGGGGGGGGGAAGGGAAGACGGAGAAGTAGGGGGAGGGAAGAGGTCGGTCGGTCGGACGCGGCATTACAGCAGCACGAGTGCTGGTCAATGTTAGGCCCGCTGCGCGACTGTTCTCGCCGGCGCCCCCCGAGGCACCCCGCCATGAGGCAGCAGGCGGCCCCAAAGCGAGCAAGCGGCGGGGCGTGCGGAATGGCGCCAGCCGGCAGTCGAGGGGAAAGAAAGATAGCGCAAGCAAAGCGGACCTGAAACTGGACGAAGAAGAAATATAGCGGAGGCCAGTGCACAAGAAACCTTCCACAAGAAGCCCAACCCTGAGACCCCAGGACGTCTACCGTTTTTGGTGTGTGAGCGTCACGCCTTCCATTGCAAATCCACCGAAACCCAAGAAAGCCAGGGCACCCTGGAGACAAGCAGGATGTTTCTTGGCATGGGCCTCCACTGTACCCTCACTCGGTCAAGATCGTGCGCTACTGCAAACCTCACGGTGCCAACCATCCAGCCCGTCGCAGCTGACCAGGCGAACAGCAAGCAACCCGTCATACGAACCAAAACCACGCGATAGGCAAGTGCAGTCAAAACAAGCGTTTAGGAGCAATAATCGCCCCCTCCTTGGATCCGCTGGGGGGGTTGGGCACGTGCTGTCGAAACGGGTGGAGGGGGGGTTGGAGGAGGAGGAGGAGGAGGAGGAGGAGAGGAGGAGGAGGAGGAGGAAGAGGAGGAGGGAGGAGGAGAGGAGGAGGGAGGAGGAGGAGGAGGAGGAGGAGGAGGAGGAGGAGGAGGAGGAGGAGGAGGAGGACGACGAGGAGGAGGCGGGGGGGGATGGGCAGGCTCCGTCAGAGGGTTAATCGCCCACCCCTCGATCAGTATCAGTACGCTGGCACAGCAGCCAAAACCAGCGTTTGCCGGAAGAGGCTGGCACAGTCAAAACCAGCGTTTGCGCGGATAGGCCAGTACAGCCAAAATGGCAGACTGACCCTGGACCTGAAACCCCCCTTCGGGGGCCCTGGGCTCGCATCCAGACAACGCTGCACGGCTCATTGCGATCGCAACACACCCTGCCTCAAGAGTATAGATAGAGAAAACCAACAATGGATGAGGAGCTGAATGTTTGGAAACATACCAAATACCTGGCGAAGATGCAAAAGCCACCCTCGATCACGATCGCGCGCTAACGCAGACCTGTGGATTCCAACCATTCAGCCTGCAGCAGCTGGCCTTACGAACCACAAGACTGGCCATACGAGTCACAGCCATGGGCAGGGTAGGTCAGCGCAACCATAACCATCGTTTGCGAGGATAGGCTGGTTGTGCAAAAGCAACATGGCAGAACAGCAGGTGAAGTATACAGCAAAAGGTCCAGACCAGGCAACATGCAGACTGCAATTTTTTCTGCACGAGGAATCTTGGCCTGAGCATCGATGCTCGAGCCTTCACACTCTGGAGTTCTACACCCGAGGGAAGGAGGCAGGAGAGGAAGGAGGCAGGACTCAAGGGTTCCAGGGTTGGCCACGTCCTTGAGGAGGAGAGGGGGGGAGGGGGCAGGAGAGGCGGAGGGACGAAGGATGGAGGACCTGACGCCTCAAGCAATGGCACTGCTCCCTCGATCGCTCGCCGGCGCTGTGGGGCACGCGCAGTAATGCGAACGTGCCCAGCCCACTCTGCGCCTCAGGCAGGGCAGACTCATCCCGGAGCTTCCAGCCGTGCCTCATCATCAGGCACACTACAGCCAGCCCGTATCATAAGGATGCGCGATAAGGATGCGAGGCCTTGGAAGGCCATTTCGAAGCTTTCCGAGCGGGGCGCGGCCAACGAAAGTGGCCAAGGATGGACCGAGGAGGCAAGGATGCAGGGGTCCCCTTGGGAAGGTTGCTCCCGCCTGTAGCGATCGCCATACGGTCCGATCGTAGACACGCGAGGTGTGTGTCAGGCGGTGGTGGCAGGAGGGAGAGGGGAGAGGCCAAGAAAGGCACGGCAGGCGCTTGGTAAGATAGAGATAGGCGCAGGAGGTCTAGATGAGGGCACTCTGAAAGAAGTGGAGAAGGCGGTACGAGGTAGGAGGCAAGATGAGGCGGGATGAGGAAGCAAGGTCACTTTAAACGCTTTCGTGGCGGTCCTTTGGTCCCTAAAATGTTTCGAATTCGCACACCCCTGAGTGTCCGCGACCTAGCAGCAGCAGCACCAGCAGCACCAGCACGCAAGCAAAGCACACTCCTTCCCCATCCTCCTCCTCCTTCTCCTCCTCCTCCTCCATAATCATCATCCTCAGCATCAGCATCAGCATCAGCATCAGCATCAGCATCAGCATCAGCATCAGCATCATCATCATCATCATCATCATCATCATCATCATCATCATCATCATCATCATCATCAGTACCAGTACCAGTATCAGTATCAGTACCAGTATCAGTATCAGTATCAGTATCATCATCAGCATCAGCATCATCATCACCGTCATAATCATCAGGATCATCAGCAGCAGCATCAGCATCATCACCACCACCACCAACATCATCATCATCAGCATCAGCATCATCATCATCATCATCATCATCATCATCATCATCAGCGTAATCATCATCATCATCATCATCATCATCATCATCACCATCATCATCATCATCATCATCATCATCATCATCATCATCATCATCATCATCATCATCATTCGAATCATCATCAACACCATCATCATCATCATGGTCATCATCACCATCATCATCAGCATCATCAACATCATCATCGTCATCATCGTCGTAATCAGCCTCATCATCAGCAGCAGCAGCGGCAGAATCAGCAGCAGCAGCAGCAGCAGCAGACACAGCAGAAGCATACTCAGGAGGTGGCAGGCGGGGCGCGGGGCAGGCGCCTCCGCCGCCGCCCCGCCGCAGCAGGCGGCCAGTGGCCAGCGCAGCTCCCAGCGTGGCCTGGCCGAGGGGGAGTGGGGTGATGTCGTCGTCGTCGACGACGACGTCGTGGTGGTCGTCGCCGTCGTGGTCGTGATCGTGGTCGTGGTCGCTGTAGTCGTGGTCGTCGTCGTCGCCGTCGTGGTGGTCGTCGTCGTCGTTGTCGTGGTCGTGGTCGTGGCCGTCGTCATCGTCGTCGTCGTGGTCAATCCTTCGAGGATCTATTGTGTTCTTTCCCCCACTGCGGCCTCTTGGTGGTGCTTTCGGGCCCCTGGGGGGATCCTGGGACGGAAAACTGCTCCCGGGCACAGGGTCGAGACTTCTGGGGCCGGAGGAGCGGGGAGACCCTGACCAGACCAAGGAAGAGGGGGCGAGCTGCACTCGGTTGATGGTCTCCCTGGAGAGGGGGGAGACCCTGACCACTGCTGGGGGGGGGCCTCCTCTTCTGGTGTGGTTCATGAGGGCGTCCCGCCTCCTGGAGCGCTCTGGAAGAGGGCCACGTCGCGAGCCCGGGCCGGCCACGAAGTGGCCACGTATTGGGAGGTCAAACCTGCTTCCAAAAGCACTGCGTGCCTTGGGAAGTCGAACCTGCCTCCAAAAAAAACAGGTTCGACTTCCCGATACACGCAGCTCACCTCTACTTTGGGTCGGCGGGGCGAGGGGGGGGGCGGCCCAGCGCCGCTCCCAAGCCAGGGTCAGCCAGAGAGGCTCGGAAGGAATTGCCTGACCCCCTTCAGCGCTGCGACCCCCATTTCGCGTGCCCCGAGGGGGGAGCGAGTGGGCGAGTCACTTGGCCTGTCAACTGACACCCAGGAAATCTCTATGCTGGCTCAGCGGTTGGGAGAGAGAGAGAGAGAGATGGCCACAATGCATTCCGATGTCATGTTTCTATGATTGTTTCCCGTAGCTATGAGACGCCCGCAAAACACCTCAAAGTCTGCAGCAAGTGCGCAGTACTTGAAATTACACGGCGGCGGGTAGCATTGTGAAGGCAAGGGCAGAAAATTAGATGAGCAAGGTGCATAAATCGGCACTTGCTCACAGATGAAAACGACCCACCCACCCCGCGCGGGAACGACACTTCGCGGCGAGAACGATCCTGCGTACGCTTTGTCTGATTCCCAGCATTTATCTGCTGAACTAACCGCATAGTTCGCCAAACCATTGTACAAAGCTGAATCAAACAGCACGCGCAAAAGCCCTCAGCTCAATATGTTTAACGACACTCTCTTAACGACACTCGGCGCAGGCGGTTGCGGTACATAAATGGTGTCCACTCCTGGCAATCCTTGCTCTAGTTGCGTCTGATAGGTACTGGCTTGAGCTCTGAGCGCATGTACGCTTTCATGGGACCGGAGTCGTGTGTCCGATCTCCTTGTACGAAGCCTGAGATATATCTTACCCAACACGCACCCAGCCAATCGCCGATATCGAGCACTGTCGGGGTACCACGGCGGGATGGTGACCATCTTCGAGGAAGCACGCGCGAGTTCCATCTCTCTCGGCGTGGCGGATTGAGTATTGATCATCAGTATCCCACACAAAGGTGTGATTGCTCTGCTGGGTATGCGTCCGCCTCTGCATGTTGGTGCTCGCGGTGTAAGGGATTGGCGATACTGGGCCCATTCATGCCTTGTCCAGCCACTCGATCACCCACTCCAGCACCCACTTGGGCAATATCTTGCGAAATGTCCGCTCTGTCCACATGTTCTGCAGCTGTAGTCGAAATTAGATTACAATTGCTGCCGAGGGCCAGCTCAAGAAGAGTTATGATGCTTTTCTCACTCCCCTGGGTTTGACTGGGCCCGAGTCGGGGGTCCTGGGGGGGCTGTTGTGTGTACCCTCCGTCGCCTTGGCTGGACGCATCGAGGATAGCAGGAGTGGGTGGCCGAGTGCGACATCAGCATCGACCCGGGTTCCCTTGGTAAGAGAACCCTTCAGGAGCTCATCAAGCAAGGGACCCAGAAAGGATGAAAGAAGACCACACACCTGAAACTATAGGAAGAAGGAGTTGGGAAGGACAAGGAGACGAAGGCGCTATAGGTACGTGTGTGGTTTGTCGGGCCCCGAGAATGGCTCCCGTTCGAGCGGGGACACCATCGGACAACACACACACACACACACAGCACCCACGAAATTCCACCCCAAGAAATCTAGGGATCGAGTAAGTATGGGTGCGAGCTGCCAGCTCGTGAAGAGAACTCTTTTGAAAAGCATTGCGTCTCGAGTGCTAGACTTAGCTCGCGAAACCCCTCCCCGAGCCCCTGGGCAGGAAACTTCAGGGCCCACGAAGCCACGGATGCGAGCTCGGAGGCGGCGTGGTGTGGAGGGGCTACGCAGGCGCGTCACGCTTGTCCTGCCACTGCCGCACTGCGCCGTCTTGTCATCGTCTCCCTCTCGTTACCCCCTTTCCCCCCGTCCTTCCCCTCGCGGCCGCCCCCCCCCCGTGTGTGCTGCTGCCGATAATAGCCACACGCTGAAGCGGACTGCCTCTGCCTCGCCGCCGACGGAAAGATGCGTACTGCTGTCGACCCCGTGCGTGGATGAAGCTTCTCCAAGCCGCGTGAGCTGGGCTGGACCGCGCAATTGTCCGCTAGGCTCAGATCGGGCACGCCCCCCTACAAGCGGATTTGAGAGGACAGACATAGCTTAGCCCAACACGCAGAAAGATGGTCAAAAAATACTCCAAAAATCGTCCCCCGACCATCTCTTTGCCTGCTTGTGACCCTTCCTCCTGCAGGGGGATGCGTCCGACCTAGCGCTATAGGCCTGACGCGCGCCGCGCCGCCGTGCGCGTGGCCGGCCCGAGGAGGCAGGCGCGTGATCGCCCCGGCGCGCCAGCAGTGCGGACACCCCGCCGGCACGCCTGGGCACAGGTCGTCTGCCGTGGCGAAGCAGACCTCCTCGCGTTGCTTTCCAAATATACACACACACACACACCTATCTATACATATATGTTAGATATATGTGTACCTATACGACCACCCTTCGGGTGATAAGGAGGTTGTAGGGGGGGAGGAGACGGGGGGGGAACCAACATCTGACTCGATCGACCTCACTATCGATCTCACTCAACGGGACACCACGGGACACCAAGGGCAACCACGGGACACCACGGTACACCGCGGGACACCTCTCGATCTCACTATCGGTCTCACTATCGATCTCACTATCCATCTCACTCGACGGGACACCACGGGCCACCACGGGCCACCTCGAGACCACAGGACACCACGCCACACTTGTCGATCTGACTATCGATCTCACTATCGATCTCACTCAATGGGACACCACGGGACACCACGGGACACCACGGGACACCACGGGACACCGCGGGACACCGCGGGACACCTCTCGATCTCACTATCGGTCTCACTATCGATCTCACTATCGATCTCACTCAACGGGACACCATGAGACACCACGGGACACCACGGGACACCACGGGACACCACGGGACACCTCGGGACACCTCGGGGCACCACATCGATCTCACTATCGATCTCACTATCGATCTCACTCAACGGGACACCAAGGGACACCACGGGACACCGCGGGGCACCTGTCGATCTCACTATCGATCTCACTATCGATCTCACTTTTTGGGACACCACGGGACACCACGGGACATCTCGGGGCACCACATCGATCTCACTATCGATCTCATTATCGATCTCGCTATCGATCTCACTGAACGGGACACCACGGGACACCACTGGACACCACGGGACACCTGTCGATCGCACTATCGATCTCACTATCGATCTCACGTTTGAGGACACCACGGGACACCACGGGACACCACATCGATCTCACTATCGATCTCACTATCGGTCTCACTATCGATCTCACTATCGATCTCACTCAACGGGACACCATAGGACACCACGGGACACCACGAGACACCTTGGGACACCACATCGATCTCACTATCGATCTCACTATCGATCTCACTCAACGGGACACCGTGGGGCACCACTGTCGATCTCACTATCGATCTCACTATCGATCTCACTCGACGGGACACCACGGGACACCACGGGGCACCTCGGGGCACCACATCGATCTCACTATCGATCTCACTATCGATCTCACTATCGATCTCACTCAACGGGACACCGCGGGACACCACGGGACACCATGGAACACCTGTCGATCTTACTATCGATCTCACTATCGATCTTACTTTTTGGGACACCACGGGACACCACGGGGCATCACATCGATCTCACTATCGATCTCACTATCGATCTCACTATCGATCTCACTATCGATCTCACTAATTATCGATCTCACTATCGATCTCACTATCGATCTCACTCTACGGGACACCACGGGACACCACGGGACACAGCGGGACACCGCGAGCCACCGCCGGACGGACGGACGGACGGGCGGGCTGGGGAGAATCATTTGTCTTGAATTCGCCCTAGCAACGGCGAACACCACGGGAGACCATGGGACACCACGGGACACCGCGGGACACCGCGAGACACCGCCGGACGGGCGGGAGGGAGGGGGGGAATCATTTGACTTGACTTCGCCCTAGCAACGGCGGGTTCATTCCTCTCGCGCGCCCACGCAGCTTCGCCTCGTCCGCACGCTCTCCTCTCAACTGCGATCTCACCCCCAAACCTCCGATATGTAAATTATTGCGTTTAACGGGAAAGAAACTATGTTCGGCCTCCAGGGGCCCCTGCCGGGCCTCGGGGCCATCAAAAAACAACTCGGGATGAAAAACTCGTCCGGGGGAAGGGGTCGAGACCTCTGGGGGTCGACGCTGCGCAAAAGGCACGATGTCGGGTCTGGGAAAGCAAGCGCTGGTCAGAAAGAGGACCTCGGTCTCCAAGGCTTTGCTCGGCAAGAGCTGGGCCGCCTCGGACGCGGGCCCCAGGATTCACGAGACGCTTGCTGTCCCCAACCGTGAGAGCAAGCGGCCCCTGTATGATTCCAAGTGGCCCAATCCGCTCGAAGACGGCTCCAGGTGGCCACAGACCTCCCCAGGGAGGCCCCCAAAAAAGGCTCCATTTCTTCCAAAGCCAATGGAGATCACATGATTTTGGTCTTTTCGCCTCTTCGCTTCCGGCAGGTCCACACGCCTCAGGATGGCTCCGAGGCGGCTCCACCCTGGGCCCCCGAGGGGCCCAGAAAGGGCGCCCAGAACGCCGTCGGGCACCTCCGGGCCGCCCCCCCAAAAAAGCCCCCAAGAATCGCTTCCTGGACCTTCGGGGCCCTCCCCCCCCCCTCCCACCGGGTGGACGCTGGCCTCGAGCGGGCGGTACTTCCCGCGACGGGCGTGCCTCGGGACGAGGCGCGCGGGCCTCGGGGGGGGGGGGGGGCCGCCCCACGGCGCCCCACCGGCGCACACACGGGGATGTTCGCGGGGGCGGGCCGAGTGGGCGGCGGCTGCGGGCCCAGGGGGCGCGCGGTTGGCTCGACCTGTGGCCCTTCTCTCGAAGAGGAGGAAAGAGCCTGAACGTTGTTGTTCGTTTTGTCTCCGTTGTGCGCTTCGTGATGCGCTACCTGTTCTCCTATACCTCCCCGCCAAAGCGAAAAACGAAACACAGCCGAAGTCCAGCAAAACAGCGCTTTAGTTCAGCCCTGAAGCACATAAAAATAAACTTTCGACGCTCCACGCGGATGTCTTTGATCTGCGCTGGAGCCCCCTCCCTGGCGCGCGGAGCGCGCCAGGGGCGGCGCTGGAGGCGCCGCCAGGGGGCCCCAGCGCAGATCCAAGACATCCGCGCGGACCGTCGAAAGGCTATGGTTATGTGCTTTTGTTCTTCCTCGATTCTCCCCCATCCGCTCCGGAGACGGGGGAGGAGGCGAGGTGTCTGCGATCCCCACGGGACTCGGGTGCCTGGGTCCAGGGGAGACCAAGCTCACGAGGACCCGCCGGATGGCCCACGACATGTGGGAGAAGGGCCCAGGGCAGGACTTCTCCAGTGTGGCTGGCGAGTTGTGGTGCAACATCTTCGCTAGGGCTGGGGATGGAGGGTTGCATCGCGTCCGATCCTGTGAGGTCAAAGGCCACATGTCGCCTGCCCAAGCCCTTGATAAGGGTATGCCCCACTGAGCGTGGGCTGGCAACTAGGCTAGGTCGGGCATGTCCTCCGACAGGCGGATTCTGGAAGAAAAACGCAAACATGGTCACCAAAAAATGCTCGAAAATGGTCCAAAGAGCACGGAGAATCGCCGCCGGACTATCGCTTGCTGTTCTTGAAGATTCCCCCTGTAGAGGGACATAGCAGACTTCACAGCAGGGCGGCGGAGCGCATGGCCAGGCTCGGGGCGGTGGTGCCTCGGTGGAGAGCGGCGGCACGCCGCCCGGGAATGCCATGGTCGAGCAGGGGGGGGCCCAGCTCGTCCCGGGAGCTGTGAGAACGATGGGCGAGCTCGGCCTGTCTTCGGCGGCGAGCGCGGGGGGGGAAGGGAGACGGAGAAGGCCTGCTCAGAAGGCGGCGGGACTCCTCAGGAGCCCTCGCGCCTTCTGAGAAGTTTTCTGCCTTCGGGGAAGGCTTGGAAAACTTCTCAGAAGGCCCGGGGACGTCTGGGCCTTCTGAGAAGGCCCGCCCCTTCTCACTGCCCCCCCGCGCTCGCCGCCGACATATGATGTCGAGAGAGTGTGCGTAGCAAAGCGCGTGCCAGGGCCTCACTGCTCGGGCGCGTTCCCGATGCACTCGGCCATCGACTCTGGCGTGCGGGGCGTGCTGGCAAGAGACTCATGTGCGCCGGGTGCGGAGAGTCAGGCACCAGGGTGAGCTTCTGTGAGTTCCATTGCAGGGGAATGCCTCGTGTGGCGAAATCGCTCGCCACTCGCACTCCCTCGTCCCAGTATCTAGTCGACCGCCCAGGGGGGCCCCGAAATAGAGACGCCAAGCGAGGACTAGACAATCTCCACGAAGGCGTCGACCTGTCCACTCACACTTTCTTTGGACGGTGTAGCAATGACTGTCGAGGCTCCTCTCGGCACCATCGAGCGCATCGGGACGCTGATGTTGCAAAGTGCCCCCCATGGTTTCTTGCTTTGTTTCCACACGTACGCGCTCAGTGCCCACTCGGTCGAAACATCGAAAAAATACCCTTTGCCCAAAATGGGTGAGCAAGCAATGGCAATTTATCACCTCGTTGAAAGCCAGTCATAAGCTCCACGAACAAACTGCAGCCGAAACTAGGATCAAACAACTTTTCGTTCAAGACAATAAGCAAGCAACCCAGAAGTTCCCAAAACAAACCTGGGCAAAGTTCTGCCGTTAACACTGAAAGGCAGAAAGTGCTCCAGAAAATGGGCAAGCTTTCCGACAAGTTGGTTGGAGAAACGCTGGCCCAGATGTTCGGGAGAAGGTTTCTAGATCAGCTACTCGACTGCACACACACACACACACACACTAATCTGCACAGGCCATCCCCCAGGGCGTTCGGCTTGCAGGATTGCTGCACGACAGGAACAGGAAATACTCCCCAATTCTTTCTGGCATGTCAGGCGTCGCACTGCGGGACAGGCCCTCTGATCGCAGGTTGGATCGCAGGAGGTGAGGAGGAGCAGGAGTGAGAGGCTAGGAGCTCAATTACTTTATGGCCCTGCGGGCACATCATATTTTTCCGTGCCTTGTTACCCCTCGTTGTGTACGCCCTTGCTTGCAAATAGCGTGTTGGCCTCTGCGCCTAAGTCGGTGTCATGCCCAACCGATTTGTCCTACCACCCTGACGATACGATCCCAGTCGCCCGAATTTCCAAAACGTCACAGAGCAGGGAGAGGAGAGGTCGAGGAGGAGAACGCAGAGGAGGAGAGGGAGGAAGAGGTAGAGATGAGGCAGGAGAGAAGAATCGGGAATGAGGATCGGCCTGCGTAGACCCAGGTCCAGGAAACGAAGAAGTGGAGGGAGGAGCAGCAGGAGGAGGAGGCATTGGAGGAGAAGGAGGAGGAGGAGAAGGAGGAGGACAAGGGACAAGGGAGGAGGAGGAGGAGGAAAAGGAGGAGGAGGAGGAGAACTCGGAGGGGGATGGAAGGATGGAAGACAGGAGCAGCAGCAGGACCACGACGACGATTTCAAAGCTCCCCGGGCCAGCGCTCCAGCAAGCAGGCCGCGCCGCCGCCTCCCGGGCCAGCCCCCACACTGGGGGGGGGGGGCACAGGAGGAGGAGGAGAAGGAGCAGCATGAGGAGCAGGAGGAGGAGGAGGAGGAGGAGGAGGAGGAGTAGGGTGGGGGAGGAGAGGCTGAGCATCACCTTGGAGGCTACTCTGGTACGTAAGAAAGACGATGATGCATTCCTGGAGATACCTCGGGTGGCGCTTGTGCCCTTCTCCGGCCTCCCTGGGGGCATCCTGGCACGGTCTACCACTTGCACCACCACGAGGCATCCTGGCATCGAATCGCGAAATCGGATCGGATCGGAAACGCGTCGCATCGCTGATGCATCGTCCCAGATCGAATCGAACTCGAATCGCCGCGCCCGACTCCAGCTGGCCCTGGCCGAGACCAGGGCAGCGAGCCGAATCGAATCGAATCAGCATCGCGGCCCCCGCCGGCGAAGCGAATCGCATCGAATCGGATCGTGGGCGGCTCAGAGGCGGGGGGAGAGAGGGAGGAACAGGAGGGATACCCATCGGTCGGAAGAAGTAGGTAGAATCATGAAGCAGGCAGGCGTTGAAAATAGATTGGGTTCAGTCCGCCCCCTCAAGAGGACGGAAACGGTGAAGCCACTCGATCATCGAAGTAGGAAGGCGCTGAAAGTAGATTGGAGTCTGGGAATCCCAAAATACCTACTTTCAACGACCGATGGGTAACGAGGACCACAAGATGCAGCAGCGGTACTGCTGCGCACCCTCCCGCTCCCAAGCCGTCTCCGCGTACGTCCCTACCAGCTCTCGCTCTCACTGCAAGGAGCGCCCCCCCCGTGAAAGACCAGCACCGCATGGGCCTGCCACTTTGGCAGGGGACCCGTTTTGAAGAGGAATTGACTTGCATGCTTCGGGCGCGGAGTCAGAAATACGAAGCACGGTTCAGCGAGGTGTCCAACGAAATCTTCCGTTTTCAAATGTGGTTCCAAGACCCTCACGGATGGAGGGCGGGCCGTCTTCGAAATATGGCTCTTGCCTTAGCGTCGTTTTAAGAGTGCACAGAACAATTTCAAGGATTCTCATGATTGACGTCCCAAAAATAATGGTTTGCCAAGATGTCGGACTGTCAGGGCGCAGCAGTTGCGTCAATTCGCGGTGTGGACGTCCCATGAGCGGCATTCTAGCATGGTTCAAGATCGTCGAGACGAAATGGTAGCAGTGACTCGCGGCGTTGAAGTCCCACGAATGGCGTTCTGGTACAATTCTTGATTTTCAGACGATTGTCTTCCGACGGGACATTACCCTCAGAGAAAATGAATCCTTGCCTGGTGCCAATGAAAAAGGAACTTGGAGGAGGGGGTGATCGGAATATCCCTGATGATTCTTAGGTTTACACTGGTCCTCCTCCTTGTCCTGCTGCACCCGCTCCTGAGCTGCTGTGCCGCTGCGCTGCTGTGCTGCAACCCTCCGCCCTGTCCAACTGAGACGCCCCCCCACCTGCCCTAGCTCCTGAACCTCATCGTCCTCATCCTCGCGTCCTCGGCCTGTCCAACCGATTACTCACCAAACCTCCCCCAGCAAGATCGAAATCGCCGTCGGGCCTGCCGTTCTCAAGAGAGGGGACATTCCGGAGCATTGGGAAAAAGCCTCCCGACCGGAATTTATCGGGGGGTCTGTGGCCTTCGGGTTGTGTGGGGGTGGTTTGGTAAGTAGCGACCATCTGTCTGGCACTCCAAGGGCCTCCAGGAGCCCGTTTTCCTATTGTTCACGATAACGCCCGTGAGCGGTTCCGACCACCCCGCTTCCCAACCCCCTCCCCCGGTCACTTCACGATTCGCGCCGGCGCCGTCTGGGAACTAGCCTTCCCTAAACTTGCCATCGCTCGGACGTCCATACCCCGTGCATTTGTTGGTTTCGTGCTTGCTTTTTTGCAAGATGATCCACGATGCTCCTCGATGGTCCTCGCCGAGGAAAAATGAAAAACGCCCGAGCGGTGCCACGTGAAAGCATTCCCAAACCACGCCCGCGCGATTCGTGACGTGACTGACCTCATCCCTCCCTCCCTCCCTCCCTCCCTCCCTCCCTCCCTCCCCCCTGTCCCTTCCGTGTACCTTCCTGGCTGCTTTGGCGCCCGTAGCCGCATATCTCCTGCGTCCCGGAGTATTCTGCTCAGCGGCAGCAGCCCTCCATCGAGAGGCTACAAACAGTCCCCCCCAGTCACGCCTGCTGTCGCCAGGAGGATCAAAAAACGGGCTCCAGGGCCTCTCACTCGCCGCCGCCCCCCGCCGCCTTCTCCTGGCCTCGTCGGGGCAAGCCCCTGGCGAGGGGCGCCCGTCGCGAGCCGCCGCCATGGCTCGGCGCCGGTCGCCCGGCAGGGTGCCCTGCCGGAGAGCTCGCGGGCCATACGCGTGGTGCGCGCGCGGCTCCAGAGAAGGGCGGCGCCCGAGATGATGTTCGAAACGCTGAGGCGCTGTTGTCGTTGTCAAGATCGGCGTTGTGGTGTCCGTTTTTGGGGGGCAGCATTTTTTCTCCGCTGTGGGATTCTCGTTCGCGCCGTGCGAGGCTCAGTGTCTTCTTTGTACTGCCGTTGTTGTGCTTCTCATTGGGACTGCAGATGTGTTCTCCTCTCTGGGATGGCCGAACACCGAAAATCTGGAAACGGTGAAAAAAAAACGCCTCCAGCGGTTCTGAACATCAAAGAAGGGCGGCGCTGCTTAGGGCGTTAGTCCTGTACACAGTCGCACGGGCGAGGACGCACCCAAACATGCAACCACAACCACAGCACGCGCCAGCGGTGACGCACTCGTGATCGAGGGAACGTGGGCAAGGCGCGCCCGAATCGATTCCAACGTCAATATACCAGCAGATCGTTGCAGGGACCGCCGTGTGCTCCAGAAGTCCTGTGCCTATCACACAGACAAACCATGTCGAGGCATGCTCATAGAAGGGGATATCATGCACTGAGGGTCGGAGGCCCCCCTCGAACATCTGGAGTTGAGGACCAGCACTACGACGTCTTCTTGTCCCCTTGATTCTGTCTGCGCGGCACGAAGAAAAGAAGTCTCACAGCAGGGAGGCATCCAGGCAGAGCGCGCCCAGAGGATGAGCAAAGGCGAAGGGCAGAAGGGAGGAAAGTACAAGGGCGGAACAGCGCGCAACTCATCCCAAGGTGGTCTTGCGTGGGAGTTGGAAGCTGGCCCAAAAACCGCCTCCGAACCGCAAAACCCTGAATCGAACCGCAAAACCCTGAATCGAAACCTGTCAGCCAAACTTCGTGGAGGCATCCGTACAGCCAGACGTCCACACTGAGTAGGTAGGCCCAAAACAACGAGCTCACCCCGCGCGCAAAAAGAACAGCAGCTCAGCCCCAGCTCGCAGCCTGCCGAAAGCCGTCCCCGAGCCCTATTCCTTTGTTCGACGGATCTCGAGAGTCCGCTGTCCCAGGAGCGCGGGAGGGCGAACGTGCGAGCGAGCGAGAGAAGGGAGCAGCACACGTGGCCGATTCCAAGAACCCTGAACCCGAAAATGATGACGTCTCACTTCTGCTCCCGCCGCCTTCCGTCAGGTTGGGCCTGCCCTCCTACGGGCGGACTCTGGATGAAATACTAAAAATAATTAAACACATGTTCAGAAGTAGTCAAAAAAGACGAGAAATCGTGACCTGACTACTTGTCTTACTATCCTCGAAACTTCCTCCTGTGTCGGGACACGCCTGACTTACACACATCGGTCGGAAGAAGCAGGCAGAAACATGGAGCAGGAAGGCGCTGAGAGTAGAGTGGGCTCCGTCCACCCCCCATAAGCAGGAAGGAAAAGGTGAAGCCACACCACCATGGAACGAGGACGGCACTTCAAGCGTACTCTTAACGAACTTTCCACGAGAGCGGGAGCCTGTGCCCAGGTTGCTCCCCAGGAGGAGGAGGAGAAGGAGGCGGTGGATAATGATGATGATGATGATGATGATGATGATGATGATGATGATGATGATGATGATGATGATGTTGATGCTGATGATGATGATGATGATGATGCTGAAGATGAAGATGAAGATGAAGATGAAGATGAAGATGAAGATGAAGATGATGATGATGATGATGATGATGATGATGATGATGATGATGATAATGATGATGATGATGATGATGCTGATGATGATGATGCTGCTGATGCTGATGCTGATGATGATGCTGATGCTGATGCTGATGCTGATGCTGATGATGATGCTGATGCTGATGCTGATGCTGATGATGATGATGGTGATGATGATGATGATGATGCTGATGCTGATGGTGATGGTGGTGATGATGCTGCTGCTGCTGATGATGATGATGCTGATGATGATGCTGCTGCTGATGATGATGATGAGGATGAGGATGATGGTGATGCTGATGCTGATGCTGATGCTGATGCTGATGCTGATGCTGATGCTGATGATGATGATGCTGATGCTGATGATGATGATGATGGTAATGATAATGATAATGATAATGATGATAATGATGCTGATGATGATGATGATGATGATGATGATGATGGTGATGATGCTGATGATGATGATGATGATGATGCTGCTGAAGCTGATGATGATGCTGATGCTGATGAGGAGGAGGAGGAGGAGGAGGAGGAGAAGGAGGAGGAGGGAGGGAGGGAGGAGGAGGGGATGGAGGAGGAGGAGGAGCCGAGGAGGAGGAGGAGGGAGGAGGAGGAGGAGGAGGAGGAGGAGGAGGAGGGGGACGAGGAGGGGGGGGAGGAGGGGAGAAGAGGAGGAGGAG